TATATATATATATATATATATATATATATATATTATATATATATATATATATATATATATATATATATATATATATTAATTATATATATATTAATTATATATATATATTAATTATATATAAATATATATTAATTATAGTGGAATTGTTCATGCACATCATAGCTAGTATGAGCTGAGAGGCCCTGTTGACCACCGAATCCATCACTGTCTGCTACAAATTTAGTCTGACAGTATATATATATATATAAATATATACGGAACATAGAGCTGAAATTGTTCATATACACCTTATCAAGTATGATCATAAGGGTCGTCAGGCACCGGTTTACCATTGCTGAGTTGACTGAAGTACGGTCTATGAACAGAGGCCGAGCCGATGAAGATACGGAGATGGGTGTCGTTCAACGGATTGGTTTGCTCTCGCCTTTGTTTTTTGCGACTACATCGCAGCAGTGCACTCGGTGATTTGACATTCTAGTATATTAAAGTGTGGGTGCTTACATTAGCCTACCCTGAAAGTACACATACAGTTCGGACATTTATTTTATTTAGATAGGATTCCCGCCTGCACTCGCAGTGTATTTCTCCCGAAGTATACAGCTCAGTTTCAATCGAAGTCCAAGTGAGTCTATATTAAAGTGTGGGCGCTTTGACATTAGCCTACCTTAAAAGTACACCTACAGTTCGATCATTTTATTATTATTCACATAGGATTCCCGCCTGCACTCTCCGGGAATTACTTCCGAAGTATACAGCTCGGTTTCAATCGAAGTCCATGTGAGCCATGTTGGTAATGTAGTTCTTGTAAATGGACATAAATTTGGCGGCAAACGCCTCCAGGTGGAAGATATCCTTAGATCCTAGATGCATTCTGTGTTCGTAAAACGCAGCCCTACGAGCACCAACAAAGCAGAAGTTAGTGTTCACGGACTGTCAAAGTGACTATGCATTTTAAAACGCATCTTAAACATCACTGAAAAAAATACAGGTTTTTGTGCAGCCATATAGCATCCGATTATCTCTGCAGTGTACCTCTGTATGTACTATGTAGATGTTCCTTGATTAGAAACAAAATTGCAAGTAAAATTCAGGGTGAGATGTACATTTCTTTTCCCAATAATAAATAAAGTACACATTTCCTTATCTCAAGAATATACATTAAGTAAACTTTTCCCTATCCCAAAAATACACATAAAGTAGTTTCTTTATCCCTATCTAAACCCTAAACCCTAAAACCCTAAAACCATACGCATAAAGTCAAAACGGACAAGCGAGAATAGTAGTGTACATACAATCGAATCCAATCATAGCGAGAGTTCGAGCTAAAGATACACGTATCCACTCAACAAACAATTTATTAAAGCTGTATGAAAGTGCCATACTAAAACGCCATCCCTTACACGATAGTATAAGGTTTGAGGTAAAACGACAACGAAAAGAGAATTGAATGTACCACTTTATGTCTCCTTAGTCTTGCACTTGCGGGTGGCTACACACGGATTCAAGTGTAAACCGATGGACATGTATGATTATCTTTCGTGGTATATTTTTTGAACTAGTATATAAATCGATGTTCATGTATGATTATCTTTCATGGTATATGGTGAACTAGTATATATATCGATGTTCATGTATGATTATCTTTCGTGGTATATGGTGAACTAGTATATATATCGATGGTCATGTATGATTATCTTTCGTGGCATTTGGTGAACTAGTATATAAACCGATGGCCATGTATAATTATCTTTCGTGGCATATGGTGAACTAGTATATAAACCGATGGTAATGTATGATTATCTTTCGTGGCATGTGGTGAACTAGTATATAAACCGATGGTCATGTATGATTATATTTCGTGGCATGTGGTGAACTAGTCTATAAATCGATGGTCATATATAATTATCTTTCGTGGCATATGTTGAACTAATCTATAAACCGATGGACATGTATGATTATCTTTCGTGGCATATAGTGAACTAGTATATAAACCGATGGTCATGTATGAATATATTTCGTTGCATGTGGTGAACTGGTTTATAATTCGATGGTCGTGTATGATTATCTTTCGTGGCATATGGTGAACTAGTATATAAACCTATGGTCATGCATGATTATCTTTCGTGGCATGTGGTGAACTAGTCTATAAATCGATGGTCATGTATGGTTATCTTTCGTGGCATATGGTAAACTAGTATATAAACCGAAGGTCACGTGTGATTATCTTTCGTGGCATGTGGCGAGCTAGTATACTTAGCGACGGATTTGTAACCGTGAACACCTTAGTTACACAGAATGGTTCGTTTTTCTCAACCTCAACCATAGGAAACGCCGTGTACCTTGAGTTTGCTTACTACAGCCCGCCTATCATGTGTACCAGCCTTTAGACAGCATCACTAACCAATTGTTGCGCAAAGATGGTGCGGCTACTGCCAAACCAAGCTCAACATGCATACACAACAGCACATTCACACTTATACGCCCACCTCTAGACAAGCCGCATTGTGTAACACAGTCGACTTACGGAAGGGGCCCTCATTAGCACGTGAGAAGTGATAGTGATACAACAAACGCGCAACCGTATCCACATCGACGTATATGCAAACACACATGTTGAATAGATCACATACCATTTGGTAGCCTCGATTTTGATCTCAGCGTCCAACTTCTCTACCAGCTCCGCTAGAAGTGTCTACAAAGCGAAACAATTCCGCAAAGGAATTATGGCAGAGTATATAATCGCATTGGCGGTTTAAACTTGGGCATATATATACTTGGGCATATACACACACACACACACACACACACACACACACATATATATATATAATATGTACATACACACACACACACACACACATATATATATATATATAATATGTACATATACACACCCACACACACACACACCACCCACACACACACATATATAT